TGAGCCAAATGAGATGGGTAGGGGAAGGGGTTAGAAAAGGGGCTGAAGCTATGACTTTTGGGTAAAGTGGCACAGTGGCATTAAAGCACTTTCTCTCTTTTCACTTGGAAAATGTTAGGAAATGTAAAAACAGAACCTTATAAAAGGTAGAGGAATACTAACCACCCAGTAACCAGGTGAGGAATCAGGGAATGGCATGGGAATGTAGCAGAGGGGCTGCAGCAGAGCACAGCAGAGCACCCAAGTCCCCATCATGACCCTGTCTATAAATAGCCTGGACATGGCCATGCCCAAACTATCAAGTGTTAAACAGGGCCTGCCAAAATTTTCCCTGGCTTCCAGATGAAAAGGAGAGCCTGAGAATAAAAAGGGAAACATAGATTTAGGTAAGAAACTACTGAGAATAACAGGCCCATTCTTGAGCACAAATAACAAAAGAAAAAAATGTATAAATCTAACTTCTTCAAAATTTAAAATGTTGAGCTGGTTATGGTGGCACCTGCCTATAGTTCCAGCTACTCAGGAGAATGAGACAGGAGAATTGCAAGTTCAAGGCCAGACTGGGCAACTTAGTGAGACCCTGACTTAAAAAAACAAAAACAAACAAACAACTTGTACGAGAATGTTGATATTGGGAAATAATAAAAAATACGCATTTGGTCTCTGCCCTGGTTCCTGAGAGACAGCTCCTAAAACTCTTGGAATCTCCAGAGTGAGAAGAGTACCTTTGTATGCTAATGAGATGACTGGTGGCTAGGGTCCCCATATAGTTTCAGGAAGGGGCTAGTAACCAAAAAGACCAAGGTAGCATTAGAGGGTTGGGAGTTTCAGCAGCCAAACCCAAACCTTTGGGAGAGAGAGGGGCTTAAAGATTGGGCCCATCACCTGCAGCCAATCATGTTGTCAATTGTGCCAATATAATGAGCCTCCATAAAACCCCAAAAGGACAGGGTTCAGAACATGTGGTGCTTCCTGAGGGGTGTGCAGAAGGCATGGATACTCTGTGCTCCTTCCCACCCCGTGCCCTTGGCATCCCTTCCATCTGACTAATAAATTGGTGAGTATAAGTGTTTGTGTTCTATAACCATCCTAGCAAATTAATCAGACCTGAAGGAAGAGTTCATGGGAACCCAATGTCTAAAGAGTCAATCAGAAGTGCAGGTAACAACCTGCAGCTTATGGTTGGCATCTGAGGTAAGGGCAGTCTCAGGGCAGAGCTCTCAACCTATGGGTTTAATGCTATCTCCAGGCAGACAGTATCAAAACTGAGTTGAATTAGAGGACACCCAACAGAGTGGTGTGTAGGCAAAAGGTCACACATGAGGTGATTCCATTACATGAAATACAATAGGCAGATCACAGATGGAAGAGATCAGTGGTTACAGAGTGAGGAGGAAGGGAGTGGAGAGTGAATGTTGATGGATACTGGTCTTCTTCCTCAGATGATTATAACATGCTGGATTAAATTATGATGACTGCACAACTCCATGAGTATAGTAAAATCCAATGAATTGTGTATTTTAAAAGGATTGTATGGATGGTCATGGTGTAGTACACCTATAATCCCAGTAACATGGGAGGCTGAGGCAGGAGGATTGCAAATTTAAGGTAACCTCAGAAATGTAAGAAAACCCTAAGCAATCTAGCACAAGCCTGTCCCAAAATAAAAATAAAAACGGGCTGGGGATATAGCTCAATGGGTTCAATTCCCAGAACCAAAGAAATAAAAATACCTGTGGGTTCAATTCACAGAACCAAATAAATAAACAAATAGGTAATTTATGGTATGTGAATTATATCTCAATAAAACTGTTATTTAAAAAAAAAAAACTGGTTCAGGGCTGGGGGATATAGGCTCAGTTGGTAGAGTGCTTGCCTCATATGTACAAGGTCCTGGGTTAAATCCCCAGCACCATAAAAAACAAAACAAACAAACAAAAAAAAAAAAAACACCACTAGTTCAAGAGGAAATATCATCATGGATTTAAGGCCTTTTAAGAAAAAGATCATTGCTCTGCCCTCTTTCTTGGCTGTCTGAGGCCCCAGTCTACCTGCTTTACCCTCATGTACAACCATGCAAGATGTCCTTCTAGTGATGGGTTCTGTACTCTACCTTCCACTAAGAAGAACCAGATCTCCTTGAAAAAGTAGCCCATACATGTTACAGGGTAGGGAGGAGGGAGAGCCAGGGACAGCTTACTGTCAGAAAACAAAGGTACTTTCACAGGCACCTCATGAATGGAATTAAAAGGTTAAGGAGATCAGCCCCAAGGAAGGGCTGTCATGACCAGGCAATGGCATCTTGAGCATAAAAAATAACACTGGTTAGAATTCACTGGAGTGATTCTAGACCTGGCCCCAAAGGGGAAATTATACAAAGTATACTAGACTACATATTGATGCATCCCTAATTTTTCATAAAAGGGAAAATGAGAAAAAGATAAAGTCATTCCACTGAAAGAATATAGAATACTATGATTTGTTTTACTGATAAAGCAAATTGGCCTCTTTGAGTAGATTACATCGTTATTAGAGTAATAGCGATGGCTATTTATTTTTCTCCTAGAGATGTAAGATTTTATTTAAAAAATACTGAGATGAGAGTACAAGAAGACTGGAATTCAGCGACAGCCTCAGATGGGCCTGAAGTAGGAGGCTGTTTAGGACGCCACATCCAAGACACCCTCCTTGGACATATAAGGAAGACGACCGTGGGATTGTGCTGGGAGGTTTCGTGCTGGTTGTGGATCTAGTGAATGGCCCACAGCTGAAACATTAGGAGCACAAGAAGCAGAGGGGGACAACATGAAAACCTGCATCAGGGTGACTTTTCCATCTCCAGGGGAGTTGGGTGCCCCTGGAAGTACTGTGAGAGCTCTGACCTGACTGACCTTCAGCGAAGCTCTGTTCTCCTCCCTGTGTCAGACTCTCCTTGGGTCTTCACATCCTTGCCGCTACAACTTTATGTCTTGTAATCGCCTCCTGGCATCCTCCTATCAATCTCAGCTCTATCCCTGGGAGCAGCCACACTGGCAGACAAGGGTCCACTATCATCAGCACAAAACATACAGAGCTTGAATTTAACACATAATGGGAAACCACTAGAGGACTTACACGGGGGCATGACAGAATCTGTTTTATTTTTTTCTGGTGCTAGAGATCAAACCCAGGGTCTGACCCATGCTGTACAAGTGCTCTATCCCTGAGCCGCACCATCTGTCTTAACTAATGTTTTTTAAAAAGATCTCTCTTTAAAATCTCAGTGCACCTGTGGTCTCAAGTTACTCAGGAGGCTGAGGCAGAAGATCACTTGAGCCTAGGAGTTTGAAACCAGCCTAGGCAACAGAGCAAGACCCTGTCTCAAAAAAAAAAAAAAAAAAAAAATCCCTTTGATTGTAGGGAGGAAAAAGAACTGAAGAGACAGGTAAGGAGCTTGCTACATGCTCTAGTCAAGAGGTATGCAGCTTAGGAGTAGAGCACTTGCCCAGCGTGTGTGAGGCACTGGGTTTGATCCTTACCATTACATTAAAAAATAAGAATAATAAATAAAGGCATTCTGTCAATCTACAACTACAAAAAAAATTACAAAAAAAAGAAAAAAAGGTATGAGTGCTATGAGTTGATACAGATGTGAAAAGAAAGCCTCCTGGACCCAGCAAGACAGCATTCTCAGCTTCTATTGGACCCTCTCACCACATGCATATAGGATGTTTGATAAAGTATAAAAAAATTATTTTAAACATTCTTTAGACAAGCTCTAAAGAAAAAAAGAAAGGATGGGGTAGAACTAAAGTCAACACAAGGCAAAGGAGGTGATCAAGGGAAAGGGCGGCTCTGGAGATGGGATCTGAACACACTGAGGTCTCATTCTGTCAGAGCTCGATTTGAGATTTCTGCACAAAGAAAGGCCCTGAATAGCTGCCTCCTCTCCAACAGGGGGTGTGGAAAAACTCTTCCCTCCTGCCCATGAAAGCAACAAGAAAGCCAGCTGTTGCTCAGGGATTTGGGTGGGGAAAATGTGTTCTGCAAAAAATCACAATCCTAAGACCATGATAAATCTGAATTTATACTACATCAGTGCCACAGAAGTTCCAAACTAAGAAATGAACATAAAGATCTAGTCCTAGTTGGGAATGGTGGTGCATGCCTGTTATCCCAGCAGCTCAGGAGGCTTAGGCAGAAGGATCATGAGTTCAAAGCCAGCCTTAGCAAAAGTGAGGTGCTAAGCAACTCAGTGAGACCCTGTCTCTAAATAAAATAAGGCTGGGGATGTGGCTCAGTGGCCAAGTGCCCCTGAGTTCAATCCCCAGTACAAAAAAATAAAAATAAATAAATAAAGATCTAGTTCTATAAAAGTAAAACTCCTGGGGCACCCAGGAGAACCAACACAAAACAGCTCTATAGGGACACATCTATAATGGTGCCTGGAAGTCCCACAGGAAACAAACACTTTGGTCAAAAGTAAACTCACAGTCAAAAGGCTCAGCCCATGTAAAGAAACAATCCATCATAAGGGAGAGCTAATGCCAGCACAAACAGGAATGGATTCCCCCCAAAAGTGAAATTATACAAGCACCCCTTTTCCTTTTTTTCCCTCCAATACAGGGAAAAATGTGTTCTGCAAAAAATCTACAACCTCTACCACTGAGCTACATCCCTTTTTACATTTTATTTTGAGACAGGGTCTCATTAAGTTGCTCACGCTGGCCCTGAACTTGCAATCCCCCTGTTTCAGCTCCTGATTCACTGGGATTACAGGATTACAGTGCCACCAGGCCTGAAAACCTGTACCTCTCTTGCATGCTTCTGTGACTGTTTATTTACTTGACTCTCTGTTATCCCTGACATCTGGCCCAATGCATAGCACAAACCAGAAGTCAGTCTATTTATTCAGTAACTGGGCAAATGGCTGTTCTAAGGTTCTAAGAACTAGTCCTGGCACAATACGTTAGAAGGAGTAAGAACTAAAAATTATTTCCTGAATGAATAAATGAGCAAACCTTCTGAGCAGCCAGACTTTGGCTGCTTTCACTAAGGGCCAAGGATGTAAAATACTGGATACACTCATCTACTTCTGTTTGAGGTAAAGAAGCCAGCAACTGTCTGAGTTCTTCTTCAATGGAAGAATCCTGAAATAAAAGGAAAAGAAAATATAAACAAACTCAACAGCTGAGTATAAAGAAACCTCAAAGAATCGAAGTCAAAATACAAGAAAAAAAAAAACAACACACAAATATATACATATATACTATATTATATATTAGCAGAGATAAATTAGTGCTTTTAGACTTGAAAACACTTACCCACCCAGGTAAACACTTAATTTTGAATTCTATACTTTCCTGTCTGCTACTGCATCTGAAAGACGTATTGCAAATTATTAACTCTCAACTTTCACCTCAGAGGCTTTTTGACATCTTGACTCAAAATAAATAAATAAATAAACAAAATTTTTGAAAATTAAAAAAAAATTTAAATGATTATACCCTTTCTAACCAGTGATTGCTTTTTTAAAACTATTTATTTTAGTTATAGGTGGACACACAATATCTTTATTTCATTTTTATGTGGTGCTGAGGATTGAACCCAGTGCCTCATGCGTGCTAGGCGAGTGCTCTGCCACAACCCCAGCCCCAGTGATTGCTTTTTAAATCCAAAATTCTTTACTATCTCATTTTCCCTTTTAATTAATATCTTACATATTCACTTTTCTATTTTTTAAGAACTGACAGCTTACATAGAGGCTTCTAAGAGTTTCATTTAAACATACTTTAAGTCAGGAGTAGTGGCATGAACTTCTGGTCCCAGCTACTTGGGAAACTGAGGCATGAAGACCACTTAAGCCCACAAGTTCAAAAACAGACTGGGTAACAGTGAGACCAACCCAAACAAACATGTTTATCCATGTTCAAAACAGAGGCTCTCAACCCAGGACTCCCCCACCCCCAGGAAATACTTAGCAATGTCTGGAGACATTTTTAGTTGTTCCAACTTGGACGAGGGGGTGCTGTTGGTGTCTAAGGAATGGAGTCCAGAGATGCTGTTAAACCTTCTACAAGGTATACAGCCTGCTTCAAAACACAGCCTGGCCCAAAATATCAACAGTTAAATCTGAGAAAACCTGATCTACATATGGCAAACTCAGATCAAGGGACTGACTCATAGATATCAATATGAAGTCATTTAATGGTGTAGTGGCTCCCCATCTCCAAAGATAGAAAATTATCTTGAAAGAACAGCCCATCTGGAGGAATCAAATTTCATATGAAAACTAACATTCAGTTTGACATCCTAGTTTACTTGCTTGTGAAAATTAGCTAACAACTACTTTTTTAAAGTTTATTTTGCATCCACAGAGAAGATAATATGTTAAGGTGTTTTTCACTCTGGATTATATTATTTACTTACTTCTTTTAAAGATGGCAAAGGAGGCGGTGGGAGAAAAAAGCGAAGATCACTCTCTTTACTTCGTGCCAAACCAATAAGAGTCCTAGCATCACAGGCCTGAGCGATTATTCTATACTGATAATCTGTTGTAAAAGGAGATTTTTTTTGTAAACACCCAAAGTACCTATCATTGTCACAAGAACTAAATGAACAAACTACTTTAAAGCACCCATTTTTAAACTTTTCTACAGGTTTATAATAAAAAATTTCCCAAGTATTTTTTCTCATTTTCAATGCCTGATTACACAACATTTCCACAACAGATCTCACAATTCCCTTTAACATTTATCTGGGGACCAGGTCATGATTCAGCTAATTTTTTGGAAAAAATAAAGCTCAAACATAAAAATTGGTAAGTTAGAATCAGTATAGGTTCTTCTTTTTTAATAATTCCAGTATTCAAGAGCTGTTTTTAAGCCAGGACAGTAGTATACACTTATAATCCCAGCTACTCAGGAGGCAGAGGGAGGAGGATCACAAGTTTGAGGCCAACCTAGGCAGTTAAGGGGGATCCTGTTCCAAGATTTTAAAATAATAAAAAGGGCTGAGAGTGTAGCTCAGTAGCAGAGCACTTGCCTAGCATACGTGAGGCCCTGGGTTCAATGCCCAGTATAACCAAAAAAAAAAAAGCTATTTGATCACTACATAAAACACAAGTTGCATTAAAGTCTTTGTCTGGTGGTGGGGGATGGTACTTTGGCATCAGTGATATCCATGAATATTTAGTTTGAGATTCCAGATGGTAGAACTCTGATTCAAACATACCCTCTTTATGTAGCAAAACAAAATTCCAGCCACTGAAGGGACATTCTTTTCAATAACAGCAGCTAATAAACTGGGCAAATACTTCAAGATCATGTACATTTGCAAAATATACATGCAAGGGATCCTCCCTGATTTTTCTGATGCAGTAAGACTGGAATGGAGCCCTGGAGGGCAGATTTTGAAAGAGACTTTTATTCTAAGTCTTCACTAACATTAAGTGAAATTAGTATATAGTATAATTATCTCTACCAACCAATCAATAAATTAACTTACATGAAAACAGAGATCTTATTCTAAGACTAAACTTTTCTTTGAGAACATCAGTTATTTTCTCCATTGTTCATTTTTCACTACTAATAAATTAAAGTTTAATCCACAGACTATAATCAGAGCAGATTTGATCTTTCATTCAAACACTTCTACTGTATAACTCGTGATTTTTAAATACAATATTTTAAACATTTCTTAAAAATTATACATACACAATTAGGTACATTTAGCTAATTATTAGTATTAGAACCAAGTAGATTATCAAAGTCAAAGTAAAGATAATAGTATGGTGTAGCAAATAATAAAATATATTTTATTAAATAGGAACCAAAAGAAAGTACAAGAGGTTGGAGCTGTAGCTCAGAGGCAGAGTGCTTGCCTAGCATGTCTGAGGCACTGGGTTCAATCGATTCTCAGCACCACACATACATACATACATAAATAAATAAATAAATAAGTTCATCCACAACTAAAAAATATATGTTACAAAAAAAAGTACAAGAAAGCATTAAGCAGTAACTATAAGAATCAGAATTTCTCTTGAGAAAATATGTAATCAAATAAAATTTTGTTCTGGCAAAAAGTTACATAAATACACACACACACACACACACACACCCTCAGTTTTGAGGTTGCTGTTACCAAACATATCTGGCTACCAGGCAGCAGGTTTCCTATTTTATTGATCACTGGAGCTTCTTCTCAAATTTTGAATACATTTTTTATATATATTAAGATTGCCTGAATTATTTTCCTTCCTTAATCTCATTCCCTTCTCTTCGATATCAGAAACCCAGAGCCAGCTAGTGTGTGCCGCAGTTCCACGGCCCTCTTACCATGCCAGTGGTGGGTCTCTGACATCTCCTGCACGGCCTCCAGTCGGGCGGTCCTCTCATCCGCTTTGCTCTTCTTCAAGAGCAGCCACATAGCACACTCATGATCTTCTATATCAACCGTGCTAAAAGTGTCTTTGCAAAGAGAAAAAGACACAAAAACAAGAAGGTGGATGGTTAAGATAACATTTTTATCCTTTCTTTTATTTCAGAAGGCAATTTATAAACATTTAAAATATACAACAGGAGAGTTAAATCCATATAGTGGTATTCCTATTGATTGCTATGTCTGCTCTCAGTGCTATCACTTTGGTGTATTTATTGTAACTGTTATGCATGTACTTTGGTTTTATAAACTATGGTGGCTTTCACTTCATAGTCATTTTTTTTTCTCCTTTCCCCCTTAAAAAAAAACTGTTTTAAAACAGATGGACTATTTAAAGACATGAAAGAATGAAGTGCTAACACCCATATGCCTATCACATGTAGATTAAGTAACTGCTATCTTGCCATGTTTGCTTCATCATCCTGCAGGTGTCTATAAACTATTAGGAAAGAAGCTGCAGACATAATGACATTTTACCCTTCAGTAGTTCGACCTACATCCCCTAAAAATTAGCCTGTATTCTTTTACACAACTGCAAAATGCATCATCCAACCAGAACACTAACAATAATCTTCCAAAACCATCTAAAATCTAGTGTAACACCATATGCAAATTTTCCCCAAGTTTTTTTTTAAAGATGTTTTTAAAATCAGGATTTGATAAATTCTCTTTAGCCTCTTTCAATTCTAGACGGTTTTCCTGCCTATTCTTCATGATGACAAAGACTTAAAGAAATCAGGTCAGCTTTTTTTTATACATAACTTCACATTATAGATTTGCCTGATTGTAAAATCTACATTTTTATGCAATAGTCTCATTATGAGAAAGCATGGGAGTGATTTTCTAACAAATTTAAAATTCTGTACTACTTGTCAAGAAAACAGGGTACATTTAAGGGCTGGGATTATAGCTCAGTGGCAGAGCGCTTGTCTAGCATATGTGAGGCACTGGGTTCGATTCTCAGCACCACATATAAATAAATAAAAATAAAGTTCTATCAACAACTAAAAAATAATAATGAAATTAACAAAAGAAAAAGAAAACAAGGTACATTTAATCTCAATTTATTTACAACTAATCACAATCTAGTCACAGAGAGGGAAGAAAACTGTCCAGGGCATGACTTTAAGATGACTTTAAGATGACTGATAAGGGTTCCAAGTTAAATGTTTATTACTTACCAGCAAATGGACTCTGTAATATCTTGGCTGATGCTGCTAATATTTTTCTTACTGCTTTGTGAAGTTCTTTTCTTGCCAGCCAGGCAATCCCTGAAATGATGGCAAACTTAAATCAACTAATTCCAAACTTTTTCACAAGGAAAACATAAAATAGCATCTCTGTCTTTTTATTACTATTATCAATTTTTAAAATTTCTTTTACTACTATCAATTTAACTAAAGTCATTATGGGAACACAAATTGTTCTCAAAGTCAGGGAAAAAAGTAAAAACAAAACAATAACATTAGCCAAAGCTACCAAAACTCTTCAAGGCTAAAAATATTCAAGAAAATGTACCTTGTAAACAGACCACATGGAACTGAAATTTGAAGATATCTTTTTTTTTTCCCTTCAGTACCAGGAATTGAACTCAGGGGCACCTGACCACTGAACCACATCCCCAGCCCTATTTTGTATTTTATTTAGAGAAAGGGTCTCACTGAGTTGCTTAGCACCTCGCCTTTGCTGAGGCTGCCTTTGAACTCGTGATCCTCCTGCTGGGATAACAAGCATGCACCACCACACCTGTCGAAATTTGGAGATATCTTAGAGATGAGATTAAGCCTCACTTTATAGATAAATCACAAGTCATAACAACTGTCTATGTAACTGAAATTATGAACATACCATAGAAGCATGCTGAAATCAGAAGGATAATGTAATAATAAACACCAACAAGCTAGCATGGTGATACATACGGCTCACAGTCAGGGGAGCAGTGGAGCCTGCTGTACTAGGGACCATAATGTGCTCACAGGCACAGGCTGGCTGACAACATAGGACTGGCAACTGTAAGTCAGTGTGGCTGACTCAATGCATGAAAATGCACCCCTCTGCTCTAAAATGTCATGTTCACTAAGTTACCCAGAGGCTCACAAGTGACCTAAACATTGAGAAAGAGAATGTCCTAATTAGTAAGGGCAGTTGTTTTACTCTCCATGACAGAACATAAGTGAGCTGGTGTTCATATTTATGAATCCATCTCAGGATAAAAATCATTAAAGCAGAAATATCTCTGGGCCAAATGAGAAAATCGCATTTTAGTACCTGCCAAACTGAGTGCCAGCCTCTGAACCAAGTGCCCCAACTGAGGAGGGAACTGCAGGTTCAGACAGCTGGCTGTCCTCACTTCACTGAGTTCTAGAGGAACTACAAACTCGAATCAGGTATAAATCCAAAATTTGGTTTTCAATCCATGCTTTCAGAACTTAGTTCTGAGGATCTAGTGATTCTCAAAGTGAGCTGAATCTATCTTCTTAATACCGTGTTTTAAAGAAACTTGTTTTTAAATTCACTAACTAGTTCCACTTTTCACAGAGATGACTTTACAATAAACTTACCATGATTTTCTCTTTTGTCTAAAGGAACTGGGTGCAAATATATGTATGACTTCATTTTTTCTCTTTCTACCACTTGAGTATCTAATGTCAAAGACTTCTTCAGGGCCAGAACTTCGTATGTAAAAAATAAAGAACCTCTTAAGAAGAAATAAGAAATTCATCATAAATACAGAATCTAAATGTGATACAAGATTTTCACAAGGAAACATACATAATATCCAAATGATCTTTGCATACACACACATATACACATCTCAATTTAAATAACAAATAGCTTCATAAAATTTTCCAGTCAAGAAACATTACTAACAGCATCCCAGAAACCCACAATGTGTCCTTGTGTCCCCTCCCTAATCCTGACTCTTCTTTCACCTCTATTGGTTATTTTCTGATTTTTATTATAATAACGTCCTTGCTATTATTCAGTTTTACCACCTACATAGGCATCCTAAGACAACAGAGCTTAGCTTTGCCTGTGTTTGAACTTCATTTGAATGGAATCACACTAGATGTACTCTTTTTTTTTCTTTTTTTAACATTTTTTTAGTTGTAGATGAACACGATATCTTTGTTTTATTATTTTTTTAATGTGGTGCTGAGGATATATACACATACATACATACATACTCCTGTAGGGAACATATCAGAAGCAGAATTACATACTTCCTGACAGTACATAACACTGTTCAACTTTACTAGAAAATGTCAAACTAGTTTTCTAAAAGGATTAGGCAATTTATACTCCCATCAACAGAATATACACATTTCTCCTTTCCTAAAGGCTATATCTAAAGTTTATTTTTAAATGTAAGATAGAAAGTTATCTGTCATATATCCTGACATGAAAATTTTCTTCCTCATTAGATTGACCTCCGTAAATCTAGACACAAAGGCTCAGCAAATTCAGTTATCCTGTGCCTTCTGCTGACCTGGGTTTCTGTCCTAAAGCCAACAGATGAGACAAAGGCCAGACCCAGACACACCAGAGGAACACAGAGAAGGCTCTAAGGAACCCTCTGCCCCCTTGGGGATCCATCTGAGCAGTTTTCCAGGGAAGATGATGTTCTTCATTAAAAGTTGGGCAATACATTTTCACTACAGTCCTGAAACAATTGCGATCTAGACAAAGAAACTGCATTATAGAAAAGGGTATACATTTCTCCTCTGTGCAGAATGAGTCAAAGGGGAAAACCATCTAAATAACTTTTGCCTTACGTTACAATGTCAGGAAGTAAGGTATGTGTTTGGATAAAATGCCAAATATCTCCTTTATAATTTTAGCATCTGAACTGATTTTACATTTATACTAGTGAAACAAAGTATTAGCAAACTCAGTAGAGTAGTATCAAACATACATTTAACATCTATACCCCTCCCTGAAAAAGGAAGATCGTAAAGTAACAAATGTTAGAAAGAGGGACACTCCAATCACTGGGCGGGCACCTCTCAAGGAGCGTGAGATGTCAGATGTCAGTTTTCTCAGACAGCCTCCATTTCCTTTCATTAGAGCTTTATTGTGATTTAGGTATTTTCAAAAATAATTTTAAGGTAACTTTCAGCCTCTTCGCTCACTTTCAGTCCTGATATAAGACATGACTTTATGTGCATGAAGGCTGTGTGGGTCTCAGACTCTCCCCTCAGCAACAGGGAAAGGCAGGCAGTCCCCAGTGTACACTTTGGACCAAAGAGAAAACATCCCTCAAGGTAGAGACCCAGATCAAGACAACACTGAATTGTTGGAACCAATGACTAAATCCGTATCCTTTGACTACTGCATGTGACCTATAAATCACTTCCACTGAGATTTCAAATATTAATATAATGAGGTCAATTAATATTTTGCAGTTGAACTTACCCTAAAATAAGTGATCCAGTAAATTTTATTATATTTCCTTTAAAAAGAAAGGGAGAAAGTCAATAAGATGAATTCCACTCTTAAAAGTGTGACAGGAAATAGGCAATAGTCTTTATTTCATATATAATCAGATAAAGTTATTGATATTTTTCTATTAATACAATCAGTTGCTATTAACACATGACTTCCCATCCTCAGACACAAACCAATCAATAAGAACTTCAAAAATATAATTCCTATTTATAGCTTTTTATACTCACTCTCTCCTTCCTTGAGCTTTTGTTATGCCATTTCCAACAAAATCACTGGGGAACATAGACCCTGATCCACTAACCATACTGCCAGGACCAGATTCCTACTGAATATGATGCCCAGAAAGCTCACCTCCTTTCTGACTCCTTTTAGTTAACAACCAATTAAATAAAGGAACAGGGAGCATTATCCCTATCACTGGTAGGACTATGACGAAAAATTATGTTTGTCAAGTGCCAACACAAACTGGCATTTCTCAAAGTAATTATGTTTGGTGGTTAAGTATTATATGTAGGTAGCCTCATTTAAAAAATAGGTCAGAAAAAAAGTGTGTGTGTGTGTGTGTGTGCTTGCATGTTATAAATTTATTTATGCTTTTGGTGGAACTTGGAAAACAGCTTTTTAATATTAAAAAAATTCGATTGGCAGACACTGTTAGTTGCTTATTCAACATACATATACATCTAAAATTATTCAAATCCACAGACTACCTGGCAGCTGGCCATGCAACACAGCTGTAGCCAATCAGATATCAGATATTAGTGAAAGTCTATGAGGAGAATCCCTCCCCTACAAAAGACAAGCCTCACAAGATGGCTTTTGGCCTGCTGCCTTCTTGATGCCCAGGGATTCAGCAACCATCCTGTGACTATGAGAACAACACAAATAGTGGAGCAGGAAGACAGGAAGATTGCTAAGTTTCAACTCCTGCCCCAAACTGTGTCTTGACTTCCTGATTTGTATGGAAAATAGAAATTTAATTTAAGCCACTGTAATCAAGTTTCTGTTGTATACATTGTGCACAACCTTAACTGGTGTATTACAGTTTTCACCCTAGGATGGCCTCATGGACTTTCCCTTCCTGCCCTCACACTGGGGACCCCAGGAACACCCCTATATTGCTACTCCCACTGCTTACTAGAATTTCTCTTTTTCATTGGACTCTTTAAACAAAATACAGCCTCATGAGCCTTTTCTTCCTACCCTAAAGTTCACTGTTATGGGCCAGGCTAATGGACAATGACCAAACAGGCTCCATTTTACCCTGAGACTCCATTATGAGAAATGCTTCTCCAAAGGGAAAGTCCCACCTCTGTACCCATTAATAATTGTCTAACAGTACACTTGGCAACACAAAATAGCAATTCTTATACAATGTATAATTGTTCTCTTTGGTTTCCATTTTTCTTGGGTAATGTACCTTGTCAGAGATTGATTATCTAATAGACGTCAGTAACCATTCTCTAACTTGTACTAAACTAGGGTCATTTTGACCCACTTCCCTTCTGTTTGCTTGCTGCTATACCAACCTGGAGAGTCCCGTGGAAAAAACTAATGTACCCATTGCATTGTCTCACTAACTGCCCAATTCGGCTTCTGTACCTGCTTGCTTGCAGCTACGTCAACCCGGACGTGGGTTTTGCAGTTTTTTGCCTTTAAATATCCTAAAATGCTCAGGCTGAGGGCTGTTCCTTGCAACGACAGTTATGGGTCCTGTGGGGAGGAGTCGACGGCTGGCTGGCTAAATAAAGACCCTTCAATTTGGACAAAACTGGGACTTGGTGTTTTCTGAGCGACCTGCCTCACAATATTTACCACTCTCGGAGTTTGTTCTGCTAGAAATGAAGAGAAAAGAAAAGCTCTCTTCCCTTTTCCTTTCTTCTCTATATCCACTTGTCATTTTATATTTAAAATACAGAATCAGTCAGGTATGGTGACATATGCCTGTAATCCCAGCGATTCAGGAGGCTGAGGCAGGAGGATCACAAGTTCAAGGTCATCCTCAGCAACTTAGTGAGGCTCTAAGCAACTTAGTGAGACCCTGTCTCAAAATAAAAAAATGAGGGCTGGGGTTGTGGCTCAGTGGTAGAGTGCTTCCCTAGCATGTATGAGGCACTGGGTTCGATTCTCAGCACCACATACAAAAACAAATAAATAAAGGTCCATCAACAACCAAAAAAAATTTTTTTTAAATTAAAAAATGAAAAGGAGTGGGGATGTAACTCAGTGGAAAAGCATTCCTAGGTTCAATTCCTGGTACAAAAAACTCACAAAACAGAATCAGAATTTTCTAGATGAAAGGGAACTATCCCTAAAAACAGATCTATCCTAAAGATCAAAACTCCAGGAAGACAGGGGCTTTGTCTTACTGGATATTGTATCCTTAGGGCCCAGAACAGTACTTGGCACAGAGCAGATAGTAGATATTTTTCTTTATTATCACATGAATGAAAGATGAGTTAGGTCAATCTTCTCATTTCACAAATATAGAAAATAGTTCTCTGAAAAGTAGGAATAATTAGACAGGAACTTCATCGTTCCCCTGAACCCTGCAGCCTCCCCCCACCATAGCTCCCCCTCTTTGGCTTCCCTCTCACTGCTATGAAAGATGCGTCTTGGCCCCTGTCAAAAGACAACCTGATCAAAGGCCTCTGCTGTTTCCCAGATCCTTTCTGGGCTTTGTTTCTACTATTCAGTAGAAATGCTACAACATGTCTATATATCCATATGTCTTTGGAATTGTTATCCTATTTCTCTGCTCCCCTTCATAAAAAGTGTCTTCCAGGAATTACCTAGAGTGTCTTGTTTTATTATGGACAAAATTATACCTCCCCAAATTCATCTGCTGAAGCCCTAACGCCCTGATGTGACTGTATTTGGAGATGGGCACTGAGGGAGGTAATAAAGGTTCATAAAGTACCAAGGGTGGGGCCCTAATCTGATAGGACTGATGTCTAAGAAGAGACACCAGACATCTCTCTATCCACAGAGAAACAACTGTGAGAGAATATGAAAAGAAGGTAGCCATCTACAACCTAGGAATTGGGGCCTCACTGGAAACCAATACTGTCAGTACCTTGGTCTTAGTTTCCAGAGCTGTGAGAAAATAAATTTTTATTGTTTAAACCAAAAAAAAAAAGAAAAGAAGAAAGAAAGAAAGAAAAGAAAATAGTTCTCTGAGAAGATAAGTACTTTCTTTCCTACTTTTAACAAATACTACTTAAACCTCTTGTATATGCCAAGTGTAAGAGTAAACAACAGGATATAATGGTAAAAATAAATAAACAAACAAACAAACAATAAGACATTGCCCTCAGAGTTTACAGTCCATGGAGGACATCAGTTGATTAACCAAGTTCTATATGGACTCTACCAAACCACAAGTCACAGATCTAGCCTGGGCTAGCATGCCAGGAAGCATGCCTGAGGGCCTGGTTATAGTGCGGGGGGAGCAGATCAGGGCAGATCCCAAAGCCCATCAAGGCAAAGACAACATTTTCCTTGCTTACTACTGCATTCCCAGAACCAAGTACGGGCACCTGCACTTTGATTTGTGAGAGTTTAATAAATACTTGCTGCATGACAATGCACTGACACTTAATTTTGGAAGGATGGGCATGAAGTTGGCTGAAAAAAATAGGGAAGGAAAGAAAACTTCCAAGAAAAAGAATCAGTATTGCTCTGGGCCTACAAATGTGGGGTGAATCATTTGTATGAAAAGACAAAGGAATCTGACCCTTATCGTAGATTAAATAAGCTTTTGAGGCCCCCCCCTGGAAATTTAGCCACAATTCTATCAATGTTCCTGTATGAAAATGTTGTTGTTTGAACTGTACTCACGGATCTCTCTCCAGTATGTGAAACTTTTTGGTGGGGGAGTAGAGGTTCCTATTCTTCTCCAACAGATGACACAATAAGCAGCCAGAGACATTCTGTGCAGGTAGAAGAATGTAACAAATTTAATTTAGCATCTAATATGAATGTTTAACTAAAAGACCATATCATCATCAGAGTGGATTGTCCACAGTTAGATTTTTCTAGACCAAGAAAAAATTTTCTCCCCTAAAACTTACCCACAAACTTACTAGAATAAATTTTGCTAGTACTTTAGTGATTTTTTTCAAACTGTGTCCAATTGTGATTAATGATTAATAGGAAATAAGGAAAATTACAGAATATTAATCATCAATATAGGGGAGAACTGATATACGGAATTCACCCATTCACAAAAAAAGTTCACCTTCTTTTAGATATTTTGTCATTTTTCTTCATAAAGGTCACTCATGATTTGTTTCTTCATGAAAAAATTTCAAATGTATAGAAATATAGAAAAATAAAGTAAAATGAATCCCACCACTCAGCTTTGATAATTATCAACATGTGGCTAATCTTGTTTAATATACACCTGCTCTACCCAATAGGCTATCTGCATGATAAACATTTTCTATACTTATGTTAAGGTATAGTTAATAGCTGTTATGTATGGATCCAGACAGTTCACTGAAAAGCTCATCTCTTGAAGATTTGATTCCCCAATGCAGCAATGCCCAGGAATGGGGCTTTTGGAAGTGACTGGATCATGAGAGTTATCACCTCATCAGTGAATTAATCCATTAGATGAATGGACTACTAGGAGGAGATGGAAACTGCAGGCAGGTGGGGCATGGTAGAGAATGTTATGGTTTGGATATGAGGTCTCATCCAAAAGCTCCTGTTAATGTGGGAATATCTGGAGATGAAATAATTTGATTGTGAGAGCTATAATCGAATCAGTCCAGCCTAGTTTGAACAGATTGGATGTAACTGCAGGCAGGTGGAGTGTGCCTGGAGGAGGAGGGTCACTGGAAGCATGCCCTGGAAGGGTGTGTCTTCTCTGTGGCCCCTTCCTCCCCACCTTCTGTCTGCTGACCCAATGATGAGCTGTTCCGATTTAGAGGTGAGGTATCCCCCAAAAGCTCACATGTGAGACACTGTGAGAGGGTTCAGAGGGAAAATGATTGGGCTGTGAATGCCTTAACCCAATTAGTGAGTTAATTACCCAACAGGATTAACTGAATGGTAACTAAAGGCAGGTGGGGTGTGGCTGGAGGAGGTGGGGTATTGGGGGTGTGGCTTTGGGATATATAATTGGATCTGGCAAGTGGAGTCTCTCTCTGCTTCTTGATCATTATGTGAGTTGCGTCCCTCTGCCACACTCTTCTGCCGTGGTGTCCTGCCTCACCTGGAGCCCAAGGAATGGAGCTGGCTGTTTATGGACTAAGACTTCTGAAACCGTGAGCCCCCAAATAAATTTTTCCTCCTCTACAATTGTTCTGGTTGGGTCTTTAAGTCACAGCAGCAAAAAAGCTGACTAAAACATGAGCTGAGCAGCTGTCCTCTGCTGGTCCTTTCCACCATGATGTGCTGCCTCACCTTGGGCCTAAAACAATGCAGACGGCCATCTACACTGACCTCTGAAACCACGAGCTGCAAATCAACTTTCTCTGCTCTAAGTTGTTCTTGTCGGGCATTTTAATGACAGTGATGCAGAGCTAACTAAAACACAGGACACAGGTCGCTGGGAGCATGGCCTTGGGTACTACATCTTGTCCATGGCCCCTTCCCTGCTCTCATTCTCCCATGCCCCACTTCCTGTCTGTCATGAGCTGAACAGCCTTCTTCTTCCGCATCCTTCTGCCTTGATGTTCTGCCTCACTTCAACCAAAGCAATGAAGTTGGCTGATCATGGACTGAATACTCCAAAACTCTGGAGACAAAATGAACTTTTCCTCCTTTATTTATATGTATGTTTTTTGAGGGGGTGGATACCAGGGATTAAACTCAAGGGCACTCGACCACTGAGCCACATCCCCAGCCTTATTTTGTATATTAGAGACAGAGTCTGAGTTGCTTAGCGCCTCGCTTTTGCTGAGGCTGGTTTTGAACTTTCAATCCTCCTTTCTCAGTCTCCTGAGCTGCTGGGATTACAGGTGTGTGCCATCACTCCTTTATGTTTTTTTATGTCAAAAGCTAATTAACACTCTAGCTACATGTTTGTACTGAGGGCTTAAAATATGACTAGTCCAAATATATGGCAAATATAACTAGGGAACTGAGATCATCCTATTTAATTTTAATTTATTTAAATAGCCACATATGGCTAGTGACTATTGAACAGTACAATCTTTACTCAACCCATATTCACTTTCTGATACCACCACATTACATTATTTTGAAGAAAATACAAAACGTCTAATCATTTAATTTTGACTATCTTGTATGTGCCTTTCCTCAAGGGGGAGAAAGACCTATCAAATTGCCTCCAAAATAAATATAATTCCTTGGAACCAACAAACATCTCATTATCACATCAATTATTTCATAAACTTTGGTTTTGTTTTGCACTATTGAACTGTTAGAATTAGGATCCAAACATAGTCTGTACATTACATTTGGTCTGAGTCTGCTGGATAACAAGAGAAAGGTTCAGTATTCCCATTAACACAGTCAACATTTACCAAAGCCAAAACTGCCAGGCATGTGAACTCATACCAGACTAACCAGCCTCTAGCTGACCCTAAAAACTACATAGTTGTTTTAGCCACTAGGTCTTGGGATAGTGTATAAAAAGGTTGCTGTTAGATGTGCCTAAATTTTCCTTTACACTTTAAACATATTAAATCTTAAAAGTCTCTCTGTTGAAGTCCCTATTTCTAATAATTAGGGTTATCTATCCTTTTTGGTGGTTTGCTTGCTTATGTTTGTAATCTTTGATTAAGAGTTATCTTCCGTCCGAGCATCTACTGTGAGATTCCCATGTGTTCTGGTCTATAGTGCAGTTTCAAATTTACCCCTGCCAGAGTAATACAGACATTACAAATGGATGCATTCCATTTGGATTCCCAGCACTATAAGGACACTGAGAATTTAACCCCACAATCACAAGAGGTACACATTTAGATTTTAATTTCCATTCTTTCATGTTCCTGGTAAAAGCAAGTGATCAGGTTTTTCCTTAGTCTAATGGGAGGAAATTTTCTAGTCTCTGCACCCTTGAAGGTGTAGTCCCTTAGGGATAATCACTTTTAAGGTGAGCAGAGTTTACCTGGCACAAGCAATTCAGGTCTTGATCAGGTTCTGATGACTCAGTAACTTCTTGTCTTCCTCAGTGCTATGACTTCTGCTGAGTTTCCTTTTCTAATCCTTCTCAGTTTCCTTCTTCTGCAATACTTCACTTAGAATTTTCACTTTGTTTTGCACTATTGAACTATATAAAGGGGGGGGTAGATAGTGCTGTCTGGAAGTGAATACAACTTTTTAAATCTGAGCATGACCCAAGATTTAAGTCTTTCAATAATTCCTCATTATCTAAAGCAGTGTTTCTTAAATTGAGTCCTGAGTTATGTATCAAGAATGCCACAAGTGGGGCTGGGGATGTGGCTCAAGCGGTAGCGCGCTCGCCTGGCATGCGTGCGGCCCGGGTTCGATCCTCAGCACCACATACAAACAAAGATGTTGTGTCCGCCAAATACTAAAAAATAAATATTAAAAAAAAATTCTCTCTCTCTACCTCTATCTCTCTCACTCTCTCTTTAAAAAAAAAAAAAAGAATGCCACAAGTTATCTCTGTTTCAGGTGGAAACATGAGAAATCAATTTTTGTTCATATACTTTTCATCTTTAAGGTATGATTTAGGTAATATTCACTCTTTTAAATGTACAGATCCAAAGGTTTAGACAAACACAGTCAAATCAAAATACAAAAAGTTCTATGAATTGAAACATTTTTGTGTTAATTCAGAATGGATATTCTTTCTTCCTTAAAAGGTTTTAAATAGTATTTCCAAATTGTCTTAGAGATAGTCAAATGTCTCCCACTCTGAAAATCACTGATTTGTCCCTATAGTTTTGCCTTTGCAAGAATGTCTTCTAATGGGATCATACAGCACACAGCCTGAACCTGGCTTCCTTCACTTTTTATAAAAATGCCCTTGAGTACAATTCACAATAGCTAAACTATGGAACCAACCTAGGCAACCTTCAACAGATGGACAGAGACAAATATTGTGATATACATACATATATATACACACACACACAATGGAATATTACTCACCCTTAAAGAAGAGTGAAATTATGGCATTTGCTGGTAAATGGATAGAACTGGAGAATATCATGCTAAGTGAAATAAGCCATTCCCAAAGAACCAAAGGACAAATGTTTTCTCTGATATGCAGATGCTAATTCACAATAAGGCGAGGCTTTCACAACAAGAGGGGGCTAGGGAAGAATAGAGGTATTTTGGATTAGACAAAGGGGGAATGAAGGACAGGGAGTAGTTAAGGGGTAGGAATGATAGTAGAATGAATCAGGCATTATTACCCTATGTGCATATATGATTACACAACCTGTGTAACTCTATATTATATACAACCAAAAGAATGAGAAGTTATACTCCATTTATGTATGATGTGTCAAAATGCATTCTATTGTCATGTATAACTAATTAGAATAAAAAATGTTTCTAAATTTTAAAAAAATTTAATAATGCATTTGAGAATCATCCACATTTTTGTATCTGTGGTATCATTCCATTGTATAGATTTACTAATTTGTTTATACATTCCCAGTTGAGGAACATTTGAGTTGCTTAGTTTTTCATGATTCTGAATAAAGCAGCTATAAACATTTATATACAGGTTTTATGAGTAAACATAGTATACATTTCATGTTGTTGGATTTGACTTGCTAGTATTTTGTTAAGGATGTTTGTGTCTTTGTTCATCTGAGATATTAATCTCTAATTTTCTTGTTATTTCTCTGTCTTATTTCCACATCAAAGCAGCACTGATCTTATAAGTTCATAAATGTTCCATCTTCTATATGCTTGAAATTAATGCAGAATTACTTATTCTTTCTTCCTTAAAAAGTCTTACAGTATTTCCATATTGTCTTAGGGTCTAGAGTGATGTCCTTTCTTTCATTCCTGACTTTGGCAATCTGGATTTTCTTTTTCTTACGTTTGCCAATTCAGCTAACAGTTTACTTCATTGGTACTTCCTTTCCTTCCTTTTTTTGAAATATCTCGCTATCTTGCCCAGGATAGTCTCAAACCCCTGGGTTCAAGTGATCCTCCCAAGTGCTTAGGGGCATATGCCACCAAGCTCAGCTTCCACTGATATTATCAAAGAAAAAGCTTTCAGTTTCACTGAAATACTGTTTTCTATTATCAATTTCACTGAATTGTGCTTTTACCTTATTCTCTGCCTTCTGCTTGCTCTGATTTCAAATGGCACTTAGTTGCTTAAAATCTAAGTTCAAATCACTGATCTGTGATTTCTTATTTTCTAATTTAAGTATTTATACTAAAAATGTCCCTCTACATATTGCTCTCATTGTATCCTCAAATTTTGATACACCATGTGGTTATCTTCTTTTAGTCAATTAAAAATATTTTCCAGGGCTAGGGTTGTGACTCAATGGTAGAGTACTTGCCTAGCACGTGTGAGGCACTAGGTTTGATTCTCAGCACCACATGTAAATAAGTAAATAAAATAAAAGTTCCTCAACTAAAAAATATTTTTTTAAAAAGATTTTCTAATTTCATTGACTTTTTCTTTACCAATGGGATATTCAGAGGTATGTTATTTAATTCCCCAATATTTGGGATTTTCCTAGATCTCTGATTTCAAATGTTAATTCCATTTTGGCTGGAGAACAGGTTTTGTATAAGTTGAACTCACAAATCTTGTTAGGGTTTGTTTTATGGCACAGAATGTGGTCTATCTTGATGAATGTTCCATATGCACTTGAAAAGAACATATAGTCTACTACTGTTGGATATTCTTCTACAAAAGTCTATTAGTTTGAGTTGATGGGTAGTGTTTTTCAAGTATTCACTTCCTTTCTTCTTTTCTGCCAACTTGTTCTGTTGAATAAGAGTGTGAAAGCAGGGGTCACTTAGATCATGAAAGTACCTTCTAGCTGGGAAGTCTAAAACTTTCTCTGAGTTACAGGAAGTTGTTGGAAGATTAATCTTAAGAAATCAAACAATCAAAATTTTAATTGCTTTTAGAAAAATTAACAAGATGAAAATTAGGTTGAAGAAGAGCCAAACCAGAGATGGGAAAAATCAATATGGAGGTCTTTAACAATAATCAAGGAGAAAAATGTACTTGAAGTAAGATAGTGGCTCTGAGAATGATCAAGAAGAAACAGAATGATGACATATTAAGAAAATCACCAAATCTGATAAATCATTTGAATGAGGAATGGTGGGAAATGAAGAAGAGGAAGGAGACAAACATGGTTCTGTTTCTGGCCTGGATTACTAAGTATACAGGATAATATTAACCAAAATAGGGAAATGCTAGAAATGATTTTGGCAGAAAGGATTCCAGTTTCAACATGCTAAGATTAAGGTTCTTTGTGAAATAGTGGAAAAAATGTCCAATAAGCAGTGTAAGCTCAGCATAGGACTAATCCATAGATATGAATGTATGAGACATCAGCATACATTACTAATTGAAGCCAGGGGTTTGGGTAAATTTATTAAGAATAGTGGAGAGCTCTGAGTGGTAGCACACATCTGCAGCTTCTCAGGAGAATTAGGCCAAATGATTGCTTAAATAAACACTAGTGTATAAAACAGTGTTACTCAAAATGTCCAAAGGACTATCTGCAGAGGTACTTAATAAAATGCAGGTTCCTACTCCAGATCTGATTTTTCTGTTCCAAGTTCCATGAAACTAAAACCACGGTTTTAACAGGGCTGCTTCCACTTACTGAAAGCTCTGGGGGAGAATCCACTACCAGACTCATTCAGGATATAAGCAGATTTCAGTTCCCTAGTGATTGGCAGAACTCAGTTCATTCAGCTTTAACAAGGAGGTTCTTATTAACTTGCTGGTTGTTATCTGGGGACCACTCTTAGCTCCCAAAGCCCTCTGACTGGTCTTTGCAGGTAGCCCCCTATATCTCCGAATTGACAACAGCTTGTCCTTCTTATAATGCCACACCTGTCTCTTCTGCTTTCTTCTTTAACTTTCAGGGACTATGTAATTACACCAGACTACTCCAGATCATATAAAGTAATCTCCCAATTTAAGGTCTGTAACCTTCATTCCATCTGGAAAGTCCTTTTTGCCATATAACATTATATAACCAGGGGATTCCAGGGATTAAGGTATGGACACCTTTTTTTTTTTTTTTTGGATACCAGGGGTTGAATTTAGGGACACTCAACCATTCAGCCCCAGCCCTATTTTATATTTTATTTAGAGCCAGGGTATCTCTGAGTTACTCAGCACCTTGCTGTTGCTGAGGCTGGTTTTGTACTTGTGATCCTGTTGCCTCAGCCTCCCAAGCCACTGGGATTACAGGAGTGTGCCACCATGCCTGGTGAATGGACATCTTTGAGGGGGTCAGTATTCTGCCTACCATAAGCTGCTATAAGTATTCTGATACAAGTCTTTTTTTGCAGACATGAGTATTCACACCTCTTGGGTAAATATCCAGGAGTGGAACTGCTGGGGAAGGGAAGTTATATGTTTAACTCTGTAAGACACTGACAGTTTTTTCCAACGTGACTGTACCATTTTACATTGCAACCAACAAAGCAGGAGTGTGAGGGTTCCAATCGTTCCACATCCTTGACAATGCTGTCAGCCTGTTTGATTTTAGCCTTTTCTGTGTGTGCATTATAGTATTTTTTTCATAATTTTGGTTTGAAATTCCCCCAAAACTATGTTGAGCACTTTTTCATATTTGCTAGCCATTTACATATTTTTTGTGAACTGTCCAAGTGTTTGCTCATTTAAAAAATTTTTAAGGATGAATTATCAGTATTTTATACATTCTAGAAACAAATCCTTAATCATACATACACACTACAACTAACTCCTCCAACTGTGATTTGTTTATTCCTTTCTTTTTTAAAACTTTATTTTTTATTTTTTAGTTGTAGTTGGACACAATACCTTTATTTTGTTTATTTACTTTTTATGTGGTGCTGAGGATTGAGCCCAGGGCCTCGCACATGCTAGGCAAGCGTTCTACTGCTGAGCCACAACCCCAGCCCCAATGCCTTTATTTTTTATGTGGTGCTAGGGATCAAACCCAGTGCATCACACATGCTAAGCAAGCACTCTACCAGTGAGCCACAACCCCAGCCCTCATTTTTGTAAAGATACCTTTTGATGAAAAGGAGTTTTAATATTAACAGTCTCACCAATTGTTTTATGATTATTGCCCTCTGTGTCTTGAGAAATTGTTGCCCACTTCATGTCATAGTCTCATTTTATTAAAAAATTGTTTTAGCTTTTACATTTAGGTCTATGGCCCATTTTAAGTTAATTTTTTTTTTGTATTGAGTAAGCAGGAGTTGAGGTTGAATTATTTTTATATGGCTATTTGAAAGTGCCAATAAAATTTGCTTAGACAATTTTCTTTTCACCATTGAAGGTGATTTTGTACCTTGCTCAAAAATCAATTGATCATATATTGTATACCTATTTCTGGATTCTTTATTATATCCCACTGATCTAGCTGTCTGTCCTTAAATACCACAGTCTTGATTATTATATTTTTACAGTAAGTGTTGAGCTAAGTAATGTAAGTTTTCCATCTTTGTTATTCCTGTTCAAGATGGACTCTTCAAGGTCCTTGGCACTGCCAACATAATTTTAGAGTCAGTTTTGTCAATTACTATTTTAAAAATCTTTTAGGATTAAAACTATAGCTACATTAAACCTGAAACAATTATTTTAAGTAGAGAACAAAGCAGTAATTCTGAAGAGATTAAGAACAACTAAAAAGGGAGATACTATGAGAACAAAATGAAACAAATATTCAAAAATTCCATTAAATTTAATCACAGCAAGGTCACTGGAGCCTTCACAAAGATAGCTTCATTGCCCTGGTTGGAGTGAAAATGGAATGAAATTAAACATTATTTCAGCCCTCCAGTCTGGGGTTGTGGCTCAGTGATTTTTTTTTTTTTTTAAATGTGGTGCTGAGGATCGAACCCAGGGCCTCACATGTGCTAGACAAGTGCTCTACCGCTGAGCCACAATCCCAGCCCTAATGGTGCTTTTTATAACTTAAGAAATCCTTCCTGGCAGATGAAAACGTTCTGAAGGCAAACAGTAGGGCTAGCTACATAAAAACATCACTGAGGGCTGGGGCTGTAGCTCAGTGGCAAAACACTTGCCTAGCATGTGTGAGGCACTGGGTTTAAGCCTCACCACATTAAAAAATAAATTAAATAAAGGCATACCATCCATCTACAACTTTTTTTTTAAATCACTGAACCACACGTCTAAAAATGGTAAATCTTATATGTAGTACCACAATAAAGCAAACAAAAAAATCTTTCCCAGAGACAACATAGTCTCATATTTTTTCCTAAATATCTTAAAAATGTGTATTTCAGATTAAGTTCTTTAATACATCTAGAAATTACTGTTGTAAATGGTATAAAGCAAGAACTCTGTCTTTATTCGAAATGGATTTAATGTATCTTTGCATCATTTATTGAACAGTTTTCCCCTTACTTTGTGATATAACTTAGTAGTGTACTAAGCTCCCATATGTATATGGGTGTGTTTATAGATGCAGTATCTTGTTCCATGAATTTCCTTTATCCCTGAACCAACATCATACTGTCTTAATTATTACAAGTTTATATTAAACTTTGATATCTAGTAGAGAGGGACCATATTTAATTTTCTTCTTTGAAATTGACTTAGCTATTCTTGGTACTTTGACTTTCCACATAAATTATAGGTTTAGAATGTCAAATTCCATGAAAAGTACACAGTGATTTTCACTGGCACTGCACAGAATGTATAGAATTGGAGAAACCTATTATCTTTTTGACATTGAGTGTTCCCATCCATGAATATTGTACATCTATCTGTTCAGCTATTTGGTGTACTTTTATGTGTTTCAATTAAGCATTACAATTTTCTACCTAAAGGACCGGACAGCTTTAGTTGATCTATTTCTAGACACTTGCAGTTTTGAATGCCATTGTGAATAGTACCTCTTTATCATTAAAATTTCTGGTGAATTGTTGTTAATATATATTATTATATATTAGCAATAATTCACCAGAAATATTTTTTGTTTTTGTTTTACTCAGAAATATTAACTGAAGGCTATTTCTTTTAACCAATGTAACCCTTTCAGTCACTATCATATCACCATCTGGTATCTTCTTCTTACCTGGTGTGTCTCTGTGCCCCCACTAAAATTAGTTACTTGTTTACCACTGCACCCAGAGATTGTTTTTGAGTAAATATGGATGCAGGTTTTAAATCTGGATGCTTGGAAGAAAAGCAGGTTTTGAAGAATGAAAGACAGTGATGAAAATGGTTTCAATTTGAAAGGTGGCGTTCAGATTACACACAAGTCATTAAGGTGCAGGCATCCGTCCAACACCTGGAGCTCAAGAATGGCAGTTCAAGGTAAAGGAACTCACGAAATGGAGGGCTGATTCTCAAGGAGGGAAGGTCGGCAGGGAAAAACAAAAGCAAGGAAAAGAGGCTTGGGAAAAACTAAACGAGGCAAATTTTAAAAGGAGCTGAAGGACATAGGAACCAATGGAAAGAAAAGATTTGAGATAAGGGAAGAGGGAAATAAGTAGGAAAGCAAGGGTCCATAAGAGATCACAAGAACACACGAAGCAAAAAGCTACACAAGCTTAATTGTGGAAGTACAATAAAACCCAACGCACAGAAAGCAAGAACCTATGGCAACTTGGAAAAATGGAGAGCTCCATTAAGAACCACATCAGAATTTCGGAAAGGAATTAACTTTAGAACCTTCTGTGGTCTTTCGCTTTAAAATGACCGTTACAGGTTTTCGAGACTAAATCGGTATCCAGTCTCCCCAGTCTCCAGGGTCAGGGAGCTAGAAGGTGGGATCCGGCAGGTTCAGGAGTGTCCGATGGGCTGCCTCCTTCTGGTCATCATCTTGTCAACAGAACCTGGATGGTGCACCAGGAGGTACGCTCCCCTGGCCTCGGAAGCAACCAGAGAAGCACCACAGCGAAACCAGAAACGCAAGCCAGGCTTCAGAGGACCAGAGAGACCCTCACGCCCGCGGCGGATCCGCAGGTCGCGCCGGGGCCGCGCGCCCTCACGGGGGCGCCCCGGCCATGTCGGGCTACCGCTCCCCACTCCCCTACGCGCCCGGCTTCACCGACGCCCCCGCCCAACCCACGAGCCCGCCTCTTCTTCCTACCTGCCAGCACGCGGACTCGGCCTGCCCCCAACCGCTCCCTCGGAACCCGCCAGCGGGAGCTGCCACCCTTCTCTGCGGCTTCCAGCCGGAGATCTCGGGGCAGCCGGCACGTGACCCCGCCCCTGCATGCCCCGCCCATTGGCCCAGCTCGCCCCGCCTCTCGCCGGCGCGCTCCGCCCACAAGAGCGTGCCTGGCGCGATGACGTAGAGGCGCCGGAGCACGGTGTGGGCGACGCCAAGTCTCTGCTGGGTCTGTGGGCGGAGGTGCGTGGCGATCCTCTGAGCTGCCGGGGAGAGTGTGGTGCGTGGAAGACCGCGGGGTTCGGAATAAAGACCGGAGAGGAAAGAGAGGCCCGGCACCTGTCCTCCGGGCGCTGGGGTCAGGGTGCTGTCCCGCATTTCCTCGAGCCCTTCGTGGCGTGCCGGGCAGCTGTCCCGCGCTGTCTCCTCGTGGATTCCTTCTGGGGTGTCGCCCTGCGCCCAGGCGTTCGGGCTGGAGGGTTAATTTGGGGGTACGATGGGCAGTTTCCTTCGAGCGCAGATCATGGAGAGACTGGGTGGTTTAGCAAAGGAGCCCACGATCTGGAGCCCTGGCTTTACTGTTTCTTTGAAGCGGGGCCGGGAACTAACCTAATCTCATTTGATCTCATCTTTAAAATGAGATTGTTGAATCACTACGTAATTTTTTTTTTCCTCCTCCCAGTACTGGGGACTGAACCCAATTGGTGCATGTGAGGCAAGCGCTCTGCCACTCAGCTGCATCCCTAGCCAGAATCACTGTGTGAATTTTAAGGGCCCTTTCATCTCTACCGTTGTGAAACTCCTCCGGGAGTTGACCTTTTATCCTTCTCCTGAATGAGAAAGGTTTACGTAATGGACCTGCTTTACACCTGGGATGGGCATGCCAAAGGGGAGTTTCGTTAATTGGCTGCTGGTAGAAGTTGTTTGCTTATAGTATTTGTGCATTTCAGGTATACAATTTTAGTTTTGTTAAATGGTCAGAATGTCTGTGTGTTTTAATGTTAGCACAGTTTGATGGACACTTCATATTTTGTCTTATTTCAGACGCAGATCCCCAAAGTGTACTCAAGTTGATGCTTTTGAATTTCGTGTTACTTTCTTTCTATTAGGATTATTGAGGTCATCTGCACCTTCTGACTGGAAAAAAGATGGTCAACGTCTTGAAAGGAGTGCTTATAGAATGGTTAGTAGTTTTATGAGTTTTAAATTGACATATCAAAGCTTGATTTACATATATCATTTTCTAAAATCCTGTCTGTGTAAAATCTGGATGAAATCAAATAAGCTTTTTCTACTTCAGTTTTCTTATTTAACAAGTGAGATTTTGTTGGCTAAGTTTACTTCCAGGTGCCAAATTTCAGTGTCTGTTAAATTGATGTAATTGGCACAATTTCCAACGATTTTTGATCTGAAGTAGCATATTTGTTAGATTAGGCCTTATAGAGTAACAGTTAGTGCCATATTCTCAAACCATCAGGAGTTGACTAGAATTTTAGGGTTTGCACGATCCCATTACCAACTGGTTTTTAAAAAGGGAAAAAAAATCAGGTTTCTTGAACTCCTTTGCACACTAAAAAGATGATTGACAAAGTTGAATTACTCAAAGCAGTCTAAAGTCTATGGCTTAAATACCATGCAGTCTTAAAACCTGAATTGGTCTTCCCTTGATTGTTTGCACCATCAATAATTCTTTCATCTGGAAACCCTGAACATACTTATCCAAAAATACTACTGTCTGTCTTGTTATGGCCCTAATATGAGCCACTGATGGATGATCATACTGTTTGTTTACTGTGATGGTAAGGCTCAGGAGAAGCAAGGCCAAACCCTAGGGTGCCAACATTTAAAGCCGCACTATCCAATAGAAGTATAATTTGAGCCTACATATATAGGCTTAAATTTTGTAGGAGCCACATTAAAAAGTAAAATGAAACAAATGAAATTATTTTTTTATCCAACATATCGAAAGTAGTATTTTTTCAGCATGTGCTCCCCTCCACAAAAAAAAAAAAATTTTTAAGTCCATTGTCTATTTTACAGCACATTCACAGACTAACCATATTTCAAGTGCTGTGTAGTAAACCTGACTGACTAGTAGGCTCCCCAGTGAATAGTGCAGATTTACAGTTTGGGCAGAGGGGATTCCAACAAAAATAGTCAGTGAGGTAAGGGTGTATCTAAGGAAGAAAATAGATAAACAGATTAACAGGAAGGGGAGTTGGCTATGGTGATGAGATGTAGAATGAGGTAAACACAGAATAGAAGCCATGAGTTTGGTGTGTTTTGTTTTCTGGGATTGAACTCAGGGGCATCTAATACTAAGCCATGTCCCCAGCCTTTTTTCTTTTTTATTTTGAGGGTCTCACTAAGTTCCTTAGGGCCTCATTATATTGATGACGCTGGCCTCAAACCTTTGATCCTCCTGCCTCAGCCTCAGCCAGTGGGATTATAGGTGTGTGATACCACACCTGGGGAAGTGGTGGTTTTTGATGCAAGCTCTTTGATGGTGTGGTGTGATAGATGGCCAGTGTTCCAATATCCTCAGCAAATAACTTAACAAGACCCCAGTAGATGCCTGAAACTACAGATAGTACCTAATCACAAATTTAATGCCTTCTCCCTCTTAAATAGGCTTTTATCACACTCTGTGGCCATAACTGTAGTGGGTTGAGGTGCAAAAGCAAAACATTTCTTTTTCATCAATTCACTATAGAAGATTCGTTCTTATTGTGAATCTTAGAAACTTCAAACTTTTTTTTTTAATCCTTATTAAGTCAAGAAGTTTCACCTTTTCATGTAAAGGAAATGAGCTGGATCCATGGGAAAGTAACTGGTTAGAGCTGATATGGTGATGTTCCCCTGTAGTCTCAGCTACTCTAGGGAGACTGAGGCAGGAGGATCACAACAAGTTTGAGACCAAGCTTGGCAATTTAGGAAGACCCTATCTCAAAAAGAACTGGAGATGTAGCTCGGTGGTAGAATGCCTGTCAGTTCAATCCCCAGTAGAGAAGGAAGCAGGAGGAGAAAATTGATTAACAGATTACTATTTTTTTATAAGGAGCATGAGTGACTACATTTTGACTTTTAGCCTACTAAGTACAGGAGCTAAGTCCAAAACAATAACCTCCTGTATTTTTTACTTAACAGACTACATTAAGCAAATAAACCAGATTATTGTGACCATTTAGACCTTGCTTCAGTGAATAGAAAAAAATCAAGGCATTAGGTTATAAAATTCTTTCCTCCCAAGGATTATTAGGTACCAGAGATTTAAGGCCAAGGGCCTGGGGATGTAGCTTAGTGATAAATCTGAAACTGAACATTTAAGTGTGAGGCCCTGAGTTCAACCCTCAGTACAAAAAAAAAAAAAAAAAACTAAATAAAAAATGTTTATGAATTTGCATTTTTATGTCAAAACAAGATTAGTGAAAACATCTCTCGAGATCCACCATCAACTGCAAGGCTCATATTCAGCATTTTCCCAAATCTAGCCAACCACAGCAGTTACTGAAAAAGTAGCATATGCCCAACAAAACATTTGTGTCCCATTCCAGGTACTAGAGCAGACCTTGTGTGCACTTATACAGTTTGTTCAGCAGCAAAGATTTATTGCACATGTACAAATTCCAACCAGTTTACAGCATAATTGCTGAAAAGAATCTGGAGGAATGTGTGTTATTAATCCAACCTGATCTGAACCTATATTTTATCTGAGAAGCAAGTAGGAAGACCTAAGGCAAAATCAGTCTTATTTTCTTATACTATTTATAAGTCTTTTATTAGCCTTTTCCCTTTTTTTTTGGTACCTGGGACTGAACTCAGGGGCACTTGGCCACTGAGCCACATCCCCAGGCTTGTGTTTTGTATTTCATTTAGAGACAGGGTCTCACTGAGTTGCCTAGGACCTCGCTGTTGCTGAGGCTGACTTTGAACTCTCAGTGCTCCTGCTTCAGCCTTTCAAGCTACTGGAGCCTTTGCTTCTTAATAAAGCCATGTTTATTGAAGTTTCCCAGGCATCTAAAACAGTGATAGATAGATAAATAAATAGGAGATGCTTAGTAAATATTTGTTTACTGGGTGAATTTTGTTAATAGAATTGAATCACAGTTTGTGATCTCAGCCTAAATTCCAGGTTGTTTAATGTTTCTTTAGAGCCTCTATCTCTACAGTGAGAATCAAAGTGGATAAAGTATTAAGTAGAACTTCCAGGAAGCCATTGTTTTGAGGTTAGGTCCTGTAGTAGATGCCAGCAGACCAGGATAAAAAATCAAAATGGAGTCATTTAGGACTAGGATGAGTCTGTTACTCTACCTAGAACCGTGGGTCTTTGTAATGGTAAAACCTGTAAGTCATGCTGGGAAATTAGAAGTTGTGACTCTGGTTAACTTAATATTGCCCCTGATGTCCCTTTCTCTTATGGCTTGGACCAAATATTTATTGAATACATACATTATGCTAGACCTTAATCTCCAACCCCATATATCTGTTCAGACAAAACCCAGACTTTGAAAACATTTGAGCCAGACATGATGAGACACACCTGTAATCCCAGCTACTTGGGAGGCTGAGGCAGGAGGATTAAAAGTTTGAGGCCAACCTGGCCAATTTAGCGAGATCCTATCTCCAAATTTATTTAGTTTTGGTAGTGCAGAATGACCCCAGATACAATTTACCACTGAACTATACCCCCAGCCCTTTTTGTTTTTTATTTTGAGACATGGTCTCACTAAATTGCTTAGGGCCTTGCTAAATTGCTAAGGCTGTCCTTGAGCTTGTGATCCTCTTATCTCAGCCTCCCAAGCTGTTGGGATTATAGGTGTGCAGTGCATTAGGCTTCAAAATTTTAAAAATATAAAATTTCCAGCACTGGAAAGAAAAGAGAAAGAAAAAACATAAGAGGGGAATAAACTTAATTGAACAAAACCATTTCATATTCAGTAATATTTTTTTTTAATTTTTTTGTAGTTGTAGATGGACAGCATACCTTTATTTTATTTGTTTATTTTTATGTGGTGCTGAGGATCCAGTCCAGTGCCTCACACCTGCTAGGCAAGTGATCTTTCACTGAGCTACAGTCCCAGCCCCTTCAGTAACATTTTCTAAAACGTTCTATTTATGGAAAAAATGCTTTTAAAATTTTTAAATAATATACTGGTTGCCTAATTATCATCAGAGGGATAATTTACCATTGATTAAGTCAAGATTATTATTTTATTGGATGGACGGTACTAACAACTTTGACCAGTTAAGTTTGTAGAGCTGGTAGTCTCGGTAGACACATGGTAAATTTGTTTTTTTCCCCAGAAACATTTATAGAAGCTATATACTAAGGTTGTTTGAGAGGGAAGGTATCTGCCCTTTGCAAAAACATTTTTTTCTGTTCAATATCCCTGATTCCAGGACATTGGCCAAGTATCTATATGAACTCGGTTTGGGGGTTGTTTTGTTTTGTTTCTCCATGCCAGTAGGATTCTCCCACACTCCATGAAAAATTAGAATATCCCTTTGTTCAGACAAGACTATTTTAAGGCCTCACGTTTCATATTGAAACACCCTCTAAACATTGAATATCTTTAAACAAAAAATAATAGTAAAAGAGTCTTTCAAACCATTACAGTTATCCACAATTTCAGTATATGCTTGAAAATCAACTTGAATTCTTTCTACTCTTTTTTTTTTTTTGGTTGGGGATGGTATGGTACCAGGGATTGAACTCAGGAGCACTTGACCACTGAGCCACATCCCCAGCCCTATTTTGTATTTTATTTAGAGACAGGGTCTTGCTGAGTTGCTTAGGTACTCAGACTCCTCAACTGCTGGGATTATAGGTGTGTGCCACCACACCGGGCTAAACTCTTGATTTTGTACCAGTCATGCTGGGAAGTTAGAAAAGGTAATTGATTTGAAGATTATAAAGTATATTCTTCTAGGACAGCTGAGTGTGTGATTTTTTTTATAGGATATTTTGAGGTTCTTAACAGAGCCTGAAACTATCTTAACAGTCAAGGACCAAAAGGCCCTGGAGGGTGAAGTGGGCACCAGGGTCACCACTTGAGTCCTCTCTTTTCTTTGTTGCAGGGAAGGAAGGGTGCAGCTTTGTGGTTGAACTCTAAAACTGAGGGATCTTGTCTTCCCTCCCCCCTCACCTATGTCTACTCCTAAATTGCTCTTTACTCTTTGCTCTAGCCCCACTCCCACTCTCTTCTCCATATATAGGCAAGAAAACAGGGAAATGCTGGTATTTTTTGTTTTGTTTTTAAGAATCTGAGTAAGAAAACTGTAGTTTTAAAGAAGCGGAAACTGGTTTCCCTCCTCATTTTCTTTCTGTAATATCATCTGGATGTACCCTGTTAAACTGGCTGTCACCCCCAGGTTCCTTCTAGAATTGCTTTTTAAGCTCTTTTTAATTTTCTTTTTCTCCTATTGCTCTTTGTCAATGATTAATTTGTTTGCCTCAATGAAATTTTTCAATGTGTGGTGTGTTACTGCTTTACAGATTTATTTTTATTCTGTAATTGCCAAAATTAGGGAAAGACTGAAGATAGGAAATTTAACATTTTCTGCATCTGCTTAAATCTGACCATTGTGTATCTCTTTGTACAAAGACCCCATTTTCTCTCTCATCCATCACCAGCTCTTTCTACCTTGAGATATTCATTCTCATTCTGCCCTTTATGCCTACTTTTCCTGTTGGCCACTCACCCAGAAAGCTGCAGACTCCATGCCATCCCTCATCCCTTGGAATCTTGCTGTCTTACAGCTCTCTCTGCCAATTTTTTTAAAATTACTTCTTCTACCCTCCCCCAATCCTTTTTACATTGCTTTCTGGGACACACAGCAGAATCCCCTATATTTTTTTTTAATATAGATCTTTTTTTCCATTTTTATTTATTTATTTATTTGGTTGGGGATGGGTACCAGGGATTTTTCCATTTTTATTTTATTTTATTTATTTTTTGGTTGGGGATGGGTACCAAATCCAGGGCCTCACACATGCCAGGCAAGTGCTTTACCACTGAGCCACAATTCCAGCCCAGAATCCCCTATATCTTGAACCTCTTCTGAACATTCTCTTTTCCTGTAACAAAACCTTGCTTTCTCTTTAGGCCCTGTTTGATCCCAGCATTACCAGGTTTCTCCTCCTCTACCAAGTGGTCACTTTTATCCTCCAATACATCTTGTGCCATTTGGCCAAAAAATGGTTTGGTACCTACCTTACTCCTCATTGCCACTTCCGGAAATTCATCCATCTTTTTCTATAGAAACACCCATGAATCTCAGGTTCTCAGACTATGCCAGTCATCAGCCATTCTCTTTATAATTACCCACAAACACCCAAATCTTTTCTGAAGGTTTTTTTTTTTTTCAATAGCTCTCCTTTATAATCTTTAATGATTTCAGTATCTATGTAGACTATCCTTTTAATACCCCACACTCAATTTCCTGAGCTCCAATGAGCTTGTCCTCTGCCATGCTACAGCCACTCATTCACAGTCATGCCCGACCTGTCCTCTTCAGTGCTGCAATCTCAGAATCTCATTTTCTGGCATCTGACTCTGATCACCACCACCTCTTTCCACTTGGCTTCCTCTATACCTTTTCTCTATGTTCTTCAGCTCCACTGGCCCTGCAGCCTATTGCTCCTCCTACCTTTTCAGATGCCTACATCTCTTTCCAGCTCCCACTTTTTTTTTTTTTTGGTAAGGGATTAAACCCAGGGGCACTTAACCACTGAGCCACATCCCAGCGCTTTTTTTATTTCGAGACAGGATCTCACTAAGCTGCTAAGGCTGGCTTTAAGCTCACTATTCTCCTGCCTCAGCCTCCCAAGCCACTGGAATTACAGGCATGCACCACTAAGCTGGTGCTCCCATTTTTTTTCTGCTTGTCATCGTGGGCTTTCTCAGCACACCTATTTCTATTCACTTCTAATTGTTCTCTGCTCATTCTGAAGCCCCCTCCAGGGAGCTTTCCTCCTGTGACTCCATCCAAATTGCTCTTGTCAAGGTCAGTAACTTTGTACATTGGTGGTCAGTTCTTGGTCCTCAACTTTCTTACTACACCTATGAACAGCAGATAACACAATTTTTTTTTTTTTAATAACACTCTTTTTTTTCTAAAACAGTTTTGTCCCGGTAGCTCTGGAACACTTTAGGTCTCTTCTTCGTAATTTCTTTTGCTGAGTCCTTCCTGATGTTTCTTTTCTTTCTTTCTTTTTTTTTTTTTTTTAAGTTGCAGATGGACACATTACCTTTATTTTATTTATTTTATATGGTGCTGAGGATTGAACCCAGTGCCTCACACGTGCTAGGCAAGCACTCTATCACTGAAGTACAACCCCATCCCTTCTTCCTAACCTTTTGATTATGGGATGTCCAGGGTTCGGTTCTTGCACTCTTCTCTGTAGCTGTACTTAGGGAGCTGGTGGCATGTCATGTCATTTCTATAAAAAATAGCTTCATCTTTCCATTGCTCAAAAATCTTGGCATCTCTTTGGTTCTTCTCTGTCAAAGCTCGTGTCTACTCTCAGCAAATTATGTTGGCTGTATGTCCACAGTTATCCAGAATTCAACCACTTCTCATTTCCAGGGTCACCACCAACTCCTGGTCCTTAGCATTATCATCTCTCATCTGGATTACTGAGGTTTCCACGTTTTCCCTGTTTCCACCCTTTCCTCTGCTGCTTCCAGTTTTTTCTAAGTGCAGCAACTAGTATCCTCACATTTAAAATTTGTAGTACATAGATTAAATCATGTCATTCAGTAAAGGCAAAACTCCCCAGAATCAACTCCAAGGTTCGTACTCACCTAGTAACTGAAGTAAATCCTTTCCTTTGTTAACTTAATACTTGTTTGTACTTAAATAAAACTTATTTTCAGTAAATTGCACTGATCTCTTAGATTAAATTGTTGTCTTTATAATTAATTTTGACATTCCTCAGAGCACCAAAAGATCGTGCAAAATTACATTTTCTCTAAAAATTTTTTAAAAATTGCATGCGATTTGGCATTCTTATGGGTTTTTTTGCTGAACAGATTATATTAAATCTAAAGAGTGGCCTTTGTCATTATTCAGGGTTTTTAATGCTGTAAATCTGTACTACCTACCAAGAAATTGTATTCCTCCTTCTTTTATAACTACTCTGCTTAGTAAAAACTAAAAAATTCACCAGTAAATACAATTAAATTTGGATCTTCTTTGAATTTTTGAGTTCAGTATTCTCAAAGTGGTTTTATTATTAGGATTTCCTTCAGATTCTGAATTTTCTGAAAGGAAAAAACTCTAGTACCTATTGCAAGCCGAATACTGTCTTGGCATTTATCTCCTTTAATTTCCATAACAGTTCTGTTACATGTACTCCCATATGGTTGGAAACATAGGCTCTGAAAGGTTTAGTACATATCAGGGTCAAAGAGGTAAGTGTTGAAGTTGGACTTGAATCCTGATCTAACTTTCTATATACCCTGACTTATCAAAATTACTAACATTTCAGAAGTTAATTTGTCGTAGGAAAGAACTGAACAACTATTGGCTCTTAAATGTAATCATCATGGATAAGTAAGGAAATTCATTTTTTTTTTTTTAATCAGTTAAGGAAACTGACTCTAGGTCCTATTAACTACAAAGCTTTGAATATTCTTTTTTTCCCCTTGAAAGTGAAAAATTATTTTATCAGTGACCTCTTTCTCTTAAACGTGCACTAACAGGTCTAGAACAAAGTTATCTGTGTAAATAATTCATACTGAGGCAGAGATAAAATGAATTGCATAATCATTCAGAACTTTAATCATCCTAAAAATTCTATTTGCTCAAGTCTTTGTGTGTGGTTTGACTCAAAATGTCTTCTAATTATGTGTTCCTCTGTCCAGCGATCCTGCCATGAAGCAGTTTCTACTGTACTTGGATGAGTCCAATGCCCTGGGGAAGAAGTTCATCATTCAAGATATCGATGACACTCATGTCTTCGTAATAGCAGAGTTGGTTAATGTCCTCCAGGAGCGAGTAGGTGAATTAATGGACCAAAATGCTTTTTCTCTTACCCAGAAATAAAATATCAGATATTGACTGCTTAGGAATTGTAAGGAACAAATAGGAAAGACTGTCCCCATTCGGTGGCGTATGTAGCTGAGGAGCATGCTGTGGGAAAGACTATAATCATTTGTTCAGACAAAAACCCAGAACTGATTTTTGTTGTACTTCAGAATTAAAAGTAAAAAAAAAAAGACCTTTAACAATTGGCTGTAATTTGGCTTTTATTATCCTTTAACAAAATAAAAACAAATGTTTTTCCTATCTTTTTAATACCAATTTAATACATTAAGAATAATGGTTGCTGGGGCAGGGGTTATGGCCCAGCAGTAGAGCACTCGCTAGCACGTGTGAGGCGGTGGGTTTGATCCTCAGCACCACATAAAAATAAATAAAATAAAGGTATAAAGAAAAAAAATAATGGTTGCTGAGTGTAGTGGTATGTGCCTGTAATCCTAGCTACTCTGGAGGCTGAGGCAAAAGGATTGCAAGTTCAGAGTTAGCCTGGGCAATTTAACAAGACTATGTCTCAAAATCAAAATAAAAACAGCTGGGAATGTATTTCAGTGTTAGAGCATCTCTGGGTTTAATCCCCAGTACTGTAAATGTGTGGAAAGAGTGTGTGTACATGCCTTTAAACGATCATTGTAATCTCAGTATCTGTTTTGCTTTTCTTATTAATGATTGTGGACTTGTGGCTATGGTTGTTTTGTTTTAATTAGAAATTTCACAGATCTGCTGGGGGCAACCTATCAAAGACTGAGGCAGAAGGATTGCAAGTTCAAACCCAGCGTCTGCAATTTAGAGAGATCATACCTCAAATATTTTTAAAATTTTTTTCTTTATTCAGACTTTGTTGGTCACATTTTCCTGTCAAATCAAACATTCTTTTATAAAAAAATGAGAGGGCCAAACAAAATGGTAGCATAAATATGCATTTATGTGTAGCCAATAGTTGGAAAAATACCTGCAACATAATGGATAACTTGGAGGAGATGGGTTGGAAAACTTGGATATTGCATTTTGTAAACTTCTCTGCCATATGAAGCCACATGTGTGTTAAAACATTGAGGAGTGATTAAAACAAAGGAAATGCTTTTTTTTTTTTTTTTTTTTTTTTTTTTGAGAGAAAGAGAATTTATTTATTTTAGTTTTCAGTGGACACAACATCTTTGTTTGTATGTGGTGCTGAGGATCGAACTCCAGGCCTCAGGCATGCCAGGCGAGCGCGCAACCACTTGAGCCACATCCCCAGCCCCGGAAATGCAGTTGATGTCTGCTTTAATGGAAGTAAATATTACATTTTCATCCATATGCTCCAAATCCAGCTAAACCAGATGATTTTACCCTTTTACATGCTATTTGCTAGTCTAGTTAAAAACATACAATAAAATACAGAGGATTTCAAAGTGAATAAAAACTCATCTTTGAAATATTTTTTTTAAAAAGAAAATTAGATTTACTCATATGTTATTCCCTATAATAAGAATCCTTGTTAAACAAATGGAAAGAGAAAAACAGGAGCAGCCAACCTCGTGGGAAGTAATGTATTAGGTTGAAATGTAAACTCTGATAGGGACTGTGCCTCCCTTCCTGAGGATATTGCCATGGGGGTAGGTTCCTATAATGGGAATTTTCCAATGAAAGAGAACTTTATTGATGATAATGGAACCATATCAAACCCAGTTTACCACCTTCCTTTCCATATGTTTACTCAAAGCATCTGTGCATCATTTTAATTCATTTACTCATTTAAATCTAGAAATTTTCACAGTTTGGCATATTTATTATGATTCCTATCTATATTCCTCAGTTTTGATTCACACACAATCAAATAATTTCTATAGATTACTGATATGTCTGGTACTAAAACTTGGTAAGTAGAAGATATGTTTCTACAGAATTTCCAGCTGTACTGAAATGTTACTGGACCTTATATTTTAGTCCTGTCTAAATCAATATTTTTAAATATTTTTTTAGTTGTAGATGGACACAATATCTTTATTAATTTATTTTTACGTGGTGCTGAGGATTGAACCCAGTGCCTCACACATCAAGGTAAGCATTCTACCACTGAACTACAGCCCCAGCCCCTAAATCAATTTTTAATATGCCCCAGTCATTTGTTACCTAATACCTTTTTTGTTAATATGGTAGAATCTTAGAGTTTAAAAGGTATGGAGAAAACTACAAATTGAACAGGGATTACAAAGAGTATTAAGTGAAGGAAGTCTTTATTTCGTTTGTGTTTGTTTTGATGATGGACCCTTATTTTATTTATTTATATGCAAGTGCTGAGAATCGAACCCAGTGCCTCACACATGCTAGGCAAGTGCTCCACTAACCCCCCCCCCCCCCCATTAGCTCTTATTTTTAAGAAGTTATGTTCGGGTAAATGTTAAATATCTTTCTTTTGAGACTGTTAAGAAACATAAGACAGTGTAACCGTAGGAAGTCCCCTTGCAGTTAGTGGCTTGTCTGGCTGCGAGTGAACAGGAAATGTGCCAGTGACTCTTTGCACCCACCCTGTCTCTTGGGGTCTGATTTCTATTTGATTTGGCATAATTTAGAAGCCCAGAACAAGACTTGTTGTGGGCTTGGCACTGGAGAATTTACTGTTATTTTTTAACAAAGCCTTTTCTATTGGAAAAAGATAGCATTAACCTGAATTTTCTTAACTGCATGAAAAAAAAAACATTTTAACTTGAGGAGGGTAGCTGGTCAGTCACGCGGATCTGTGCACTAAAATTGATTTAGAGTTGTACTTCTTTTTTTTTTTTTTTTGTAGATAGGTGCAATACTTTTACTTATTTATTTTTTTGTGTACTAAAGATGGAACCCAGTGCCTCCCACGTACTAGGTGAGTACTCTATCTACCACTGAGCCACAACCCCAGCCCAGAGTTGATAAGTGTCTTTTATTATAACTGTATTGGATCAGAAACTCTTAATTCCTTCAAACCCCCATTTCCTTGGGAAATTTAGTGGGATCCTGTGTGTTTGCATCACAGTTGATATAAAAATGTGTATTGAGAAATCAGTTCAGGTGAGCAGTAACTAAACATTACTGATAATAAATAACAAAGATTAGCCTCCTTTTTTCTGATACACTATAGATGGTAATCAAAATTATTAATGATTTTATTGCTGTTAACATTAGCTAAAACAGGTGATTTTACATAATTGTACTTTTGGGGGGAGAGAAACTGAGGATTGAACTCAGGGACACTCAACCACTGAGCCACATCCCCAGCCCTTTTTATTTTTTGAGATAGTCTTGCTTAATTGCTGAGGCTGGCTTTGGATTTGTGATCCTCCTGCCTCAGGCTCCCAAGCCACTTGGATTATAGGTGTGTGCCACCATGCCTGGCTATTTTGTCTCTTAATGGATGAAAAAATGGTATATGTTAAAGATGAAGAGATTAGGGGCTGGGGTTTGTAGCTCAGTGGTAGAGTGCTCGCCTAGCATGCACGAGGCACTGGGTTTGATTCTCAGTACCACATAAATGCAAAACAAAGATAATTGTGTCCACCTAAAACTTTAAATATTTACAAAAAAGAAAAGATTCATCCAAAAAAAAAAAAGATGGAGAGATGATGCAGTTTGCAAATATAGCCAATACATATTCTCAAATGTGCGTAGTTCTTTTCCATTTGCAGGAAAGTTATCTGTTGAGATTTTTTAATAAGATTTTAAAACACTGTCAATTATAGGAAAGTAATTGACAGCATTGACTGGATCCATCACCTCCCTGCTCACCAGCACTGGGATCTCCCACACATCACTGAATTTCTCTGTACTTCTCGATCCTCATCTGTAAAAACAGGAAACCTACTTTCAAAGATGAGATGATTGTTAAGTTAACACACATAAAGCAGATAGTTATGAAATTTAGTTGCCGTGAATCTAGAAGAGCACAGTGACAAAGGGAATAAATGAAATTTTTAGCGCACAAAATTTTTTCCTCTGCTGTCACCATGCAGTGGGAGAAGCAGCAAATGAGGGAGGAGGGGAACTCCTAGAACAAAAGCACTGGGGAGATAGGTCCACAGCTGCCCAGTGTCATTGCTGATTTTGAAACTGATCACCAGAGAGTTACCTGGTGGTTAAATAGACCTTTCCTATCTTTGCTTTCATTCTGGAATGATTGTCTATATAGATATAGAACGCTTGGGTCACAATGCATTTCCATCAAAACTGAGCCATTTTTCATTGTCCTCAAACATTTACTCTCTGAGTCCAGTTTGAATTTTATTCTTTCAAATAACTTTTCTCTCTGGATTACAGGAGTTTCCCTCAAGTCATTTTTCTTGTTTGTTCACCCTACTGTTAGTTTTCTAATTGGATCTCAATCCCTTTCTCCTTTCCTTTATTCCTCTGCATTGTTTATTATTTCTTTTATATTTTAAAGTTTGACCAGTGTATCTCTTGTTAATTTTTCCTAGAATATGTGAGTCTTCTTGGTTTCCTCAAGTTCTGGTAGTCTGTTTTGCTTTGCTTGGAGGATTCTTTTAAGTTTTTAGATGAACAGGTTTTCTATTATAACTTTAATACTTCTATTCTTTGGGGGGTTTGTTTGTTGTTTTCAGCCCTGAATTGAGCCTAGGGCTGCCTATCGCTGTGCTACATCGCCAGCCCTTTTTTGGTTTTCTGTTTTTGAGACAGTGCGGGGAACTTAGTGAGACCCTATGTTCAAATATGTGATCCCTCCTGCCTCAGCCTCCTGAATTGTTGAGATTACAGGCATCTTTTTGTTTTTCTTAGAAACATATGAACACAGTTCTTTATTTCTCCGTGATTAATACCTTATCTCATTTTCTTTTTAAAGTTTTTGATTGGCTCATAATTGTACATATTTGTAAGGTACAGTGTAATAATTCAATACATGTAAACTATAATTTTCAAATCAGAATAAATAGCATTTCCATCTCCTTAAACATTTACCATTCTGTTGGGAACCTTCAAGCTTCTCTCTTTTAGTTCCTTATAAAATATTTGATAAATCATTGTAAACTGGTCTTCCACTTCTGCAGTGGAAGGCTAAAACTCGCTCCTCCCATCTAACTATACATTGGTCCTCCTTATCCATTTCATTGCTTTTTAAAATTTTCTATTCCAGGAATGCTTTCAAATTGGTCACTAAACTGGATTCACTTTTTAGTGAAAATCGGTTCCTGCTGTTTTCACAGTGATTTTATTTTGGTCTTGATCATTTGTTCCATTGTACTCACTTTAAACTGTTCAGTTCAGGTCCATTTGAATCT